TGTGATTTCTAAAGATATAATATCACTGTGAGAGTAGAGTCAGTGGTCACCGGATAGGGTCGCATACAGTATGGTCCATGCTAACTTAGCACGTCTGTATTTTCTCCTTGCAATTTAGTGACAAAAAACACAGTGAATATACCTTTTCACTTTTTGAAGTACACATAACACTCGGATTTAAATCCGAGGTTTTCGCATTTATTTCAGTTGAGAAGAATAGTTCAAGAAAACAGCTGAACTTTATAAAAATAGGTTAACGATTTTCAGGATATAGGAATACAAATCTTTACGAGGTTTGCAGAAATTCTTGAGTGCGATCTTCTCGTTTGAGAAAAACGTAGTTTTTACCATTTAGTCATTTGTTTTAGAAAAATCAGCTATTTTCTTGAAGTAGACTTCCTCCGATGATAAAAGTCGAAACAAATGCAAAATCACTGTTGATTCTCCACATGCATGTCCGGATCAGTACACCGCTATTAGGGGTGAGCATTGGACGCGGCTAATCTTCGTCATCGTTATATCCCTAAAGATAATTAATATTTCATGGAAGATTATCTTGATTATTTTTATTGCAAACAGTCTTCTAACTTCACTTTCTTTTTTGAAATTTGTAGTATTTAGAAATTGATCTTAGACTATCTCTTAAGATATAAAGTGTAATTTTCTTCTCAGTTTTTATTGCTGCAAGACTATAATGTAAAACACAATGTAGCTACCAATACTTATTACAGAGAAAATTGTTTTACTCTAATGATTTTGGAACACATTTCTTCACCATCATTTATTTTTTTCTCGAGATATGCAATAATAAAAAATATTTCTTTTAGTATAAGAAGATGTTATTCATATACAATCAATGATACGTTTAAATAATGTTTCACAACCGAACTTTTGTATTACAACACGAAATAAACCTACCAAAATACAACGGTAACTCGATGCATGTAAATATTCTTGACAAGCAAAATTATAATAATGCAGCTGAAATCATCATATGCAGCAGAGATGAGATTGATTCGGGTGTTTTTTATTTTGGAATCGAACTAAACCTATTTGAATTCTGATACAGCCGTCATGGTTGAGTGGCTATGTAGTCCGATATATATATACAAATTATTGTGTTCAAACCTCAATATCATCAGGCACGAAATAACTCTGGATAAGTCACTAGCAACTATTTGTCTTGAATCATCCGTCCAATAGCATACTGATTACATTGTGACATACATCCATTGTTGTAGTTAGTTAGTGTATATGAAGAACTCAAGAACTCTTCGTCAAGCTGGTGTTCTGTCCAAATCTACAGCTAGCATTAATCTTAGAGAAGAAATCGCTTTATTGAATATGTCATTAGACAGCATCCCATATCACAAGGTACCCGAAACGTAAGTGTATTCTTCTACTTCTCATACGTAGAATGAAGATTTTCCTGTAACTGTTAAAATTCTACAAACAACAAACAAAGTCAAGTGTATAATAGAATATTGTATCTTCTTATTATTACATCATATCTCGAGAAAAAAAACCTTCGTGAAATATTTTTAGTCTTCTCCTTGAAAATCAATTATCAAAAAATCTTATCAAACAGCTCGTATATTTTCTTTTACAAAAAGAAAATCATTAATTAGAATTTATTTATAGTTTTTATATAATAATAAAATTATAAACTTACATGAAATAAATTCGATGATTTTGAATGTACTTCAATATTTCCACATTTATCTTGTGTATATGATATCATCGTACGTGTATAACCACCAACAATAAGATGAATAAAAACTAATTTGGCAATTGAACGACAAATAAAAGCAACGAATAGATGCATATGAAGGAGATTTCGGGGTAAATGTAGTCGTCTAAATCAACAGAAAATATTTGCTAATAAGCATCCTATTATAAAGACTAACAAAACAAAAACTGATATTTAAGATATCGAGATAGTAGATAATAACATCATCCACTCATATCTGATGATGAATTTAAATGAAAAGTTTTTATTTAAATATATGAAACATACTTGACATTCATCATACATAAAATAGCAATTGTTAACGATATAAGAGATAAGCTTAAACTCATTGTTTCTATCATAATACTGATTGAATTAAACTAAACATATGAAAATAACGAATAGAAAATGAAAATCATCATTTTTTTAAATTTTATTTACTTTAACTGGTCGACCATCACCAACACATGATTTACATTGAATATCTGGTGAAACAGTCATTGCCCAAGTTCCATTACTTAGACAAAAACGTTCTAAAGTGCCTATAATTATAATATAGAATTAATTGTAAGAGGAAAAAAAGGAACAAAATAAAACAGACAATTCTCTATTCCAGAACGAACACCATGATAATAATAATTTTGACCATGATCATATTCAATAATACTTGATGCCATTGTTCCACTAAGAGTTGCGTTCCAACAAACATCAATATCAGCTTCAAATTCATATGGACATGCATTTGGTGCTACATTAAATAATAATAGAATAAACATCTAAATGAAAGAAACAAAAGAAAAATATCGAATTTACAAGGTAATCTATTGAGTGAACCCAAATGACGACAACGTAAATATTCACGAAAAACTTTGCGTGGTGGAGTAACAATAGTCTATAGAAAATTCTATTGATTAATTAAAATTATAACATAATTATGAAAACTTGCCTTGTTTGGTATTGTACTATTACTAGTCATATTAGTCGATGTCATTGCCTAAAATATATGTTTATAGTGAAAAAAAAACGATAATAAAAATACAAAACTCCATAAAAAACACTCATAAAAGTCTATCTGACAGTTGACTGAATACATCTAACCGTAGAATAACATATTATATATTTATTCTTTATATTTTCTCTGATAAGACAAAGAATTAATCAAAACTAGATGATAGACTAATCTACAAGATATTATAATCAAGAGGCTGTTCTAACCAAATGTATATAATTAATTATGTTCTATTATGGGAAAGTTTCCGATGGAAAAACAATATCATTAAACAAACACTTAGGATTTTAATAAGAATGTAAACAACTTTCGATTTTATACATATTAATTACTCACATCTTGAAATTGAATAAGAAGATAAAGCAATCCAGATGTTATCATTTAGTTACTTATGTCTATTCATTAATAGATAAAGTCTAGAAAAAAAACAATATTTTTTTTTTCTAACAGGTATATTTTTCTTCTGTTTTTGTTGACAAACAAGTCGAATATGAATTCCAAATATGTATAGTACTAATATGACTGTAAATGCAATATATCTGTTTAACTGTAAGTTCTACAATTATCTTTCCATTGTATCTACATAAACTATTTCCCAATGGTCTATTCTAATAACTTATTTATATATATTTATAGAAAGATAACTCGACTCAAAAAAGATATCTTCTCTATTTTTTCCATTAAAAGAGCTTCTTATTATGTATAATCAACAGTTTCAGATAACGATGTGCAATTAAGGTCTAGAATTATGTTTTTAGTACTTTTATGTATGATGCAAAAATAATGGTACAAAATATGAATTTTTATTTTACTTCAATAAAGTGGTGCTGAAATTTTTTGTCGTCTTTCAAATCGTATATAACTTATTTTTATAATAAGTTGATAAACGAAATGACGCATCTTTCAAAAGAAAAACATCGCACAAAATGTCGATCGTTAATATATTTTCAATAAAAAGGTTCTGAAAATAATTTGTTTTTTTTTTTCATTAGTTTATAGAAAATTTTCTCCTCTTTCGAACACTATATGATTTACGTTTGCTACATATTCGTAAATGAAACGAGGCGTGAAAAAAAAGAATCATTCACGCAATAAATTTGTAATTTTTTGTATGAATTCGTCAGAAACATCATGCCGATGATAATTAATTGTTCTTTACAAGATTTTTTAAAAAGATTTCATGCAAGTCAAAGTAACCATCGTTTTACAGGATCTTTTTAAAATATTTTTGACGAGTTGATATAAAAATTATAAATTTATTGCTCGAATGTTTCTCTTCTTATTTTTTCTTTCATGTCATTTTATTTACGAATGTGTGACAAATGTAAATTATATACTGTTTGAAAGAAGAGAAAATTTTCTATCAACTGTTAGAACAACTATTCTTTTCATAATATGTTTATCGAAGTGATATACAATTCAAAAGAGAGAAAAAGTTCTATGTTTTGATAAAATAAAATTTTCCTTCAACACTCTTCTATCGACGAGATCTAGGGATCGACATTTTGTCATTACTTTTGCATCGTACGTTATTACGTTAATCGAGTCAACTGTCAGACTTTATCTGTTGTTATTACATGCAGAAGTGCGTGCGAATATATATATACTTACCTTTGTTTTCAATCTAGCGGCTTTGATGTATTTCTGAAGTAAAATAACTAGACTCGTTTTTTTATCTTTGTTTTTTTTTTTTGATTGATAAAAAAAAAGAATAAGAAAAAAAATGGTAAAGGGAATCATACCTGCATTTCCTCTTGCTTGGATAATGTTAATGTTGTTGGTAATGTTACTTGAACTGGTGTTATTATTTCACTTAATGTATCGTTCTATCGAAATTAGAATTCGAAATAAAAACTAAACATTTGATTTAATCAAAAAAAAAATCTTTACAAAATAAATCTGATTGATGTTATTATATTATTTTGTTATATGATTCTCATAAGGGGAAAGAACAAAAAGATAAGCAGCTGACTTTATCCGTTGATTGCATTTTTATATTACAATCATTTTTCTGTAACTAATAATGTCATATTATCGTTGTCAATCTTCTTTAAAAAAAGAAAAAACCAATCTTCAGGTTATTTTACCTGTTCAATAGAATTTTGTTCTTTACATTTTAAAAATTTAATACATAAAATAATAAATAATAAAATTAAATACTTTTGTTTCATAGTAAATTTGGTTTTTTATTCGTTTATAACAATGAAAATATAATTTTGTAGTTATAGTTCGATCTTGGACTCTCTTTTTTTTTCTTGTTTCAGTAACAGTTGTGTTTGTATATATAGAAATGATTGGTATCAATTACGTTTAGGCCTTGCTCTTCTGCTAAACAATTTTTTCTGTTTTTAGGAATACTTTTGTCTATATATTACGCCAGTTCTACAAAAATATAAAGACTCAATAATTGGCATGTAAGGCGCATGTGCATCGCTTTGTTTTTGTAATGTATACATGCTTCATCTGAGCTATCGTTGAAAGGCATAGAAGTAATTAAAGAAGCAAGACTTACATCTGCCATTAACATCACTTCTCAATGTCTTAAGACAACGTAAAGAGCGAGAGAGAGAGATAGAAGAATAGACTCTGAGGTCTATGTAAACGATCTAATAGCATGTGACAGATTCTAAATATCTGCAACTATTATGACAAATGTCTTATCAATTTAATTTTTCATTTATTTATTGATACAAATGATAAAATCGTTCTTTTTTTATATTTTTGTAGTCTAAAATAAATCATTCACATGATTCAAACCATTAGTAATGATGAAACAAAAAAAGAAAAGATCAAATTTCAATTGAATACAATACGTATAAAATTTAAACAAGATCGATTAGTTGACAGTTTCTTATTGTATAGAAACGATCTCATCGACTGTTTTTATTTTTGTCTTTACTATAAAAATCATTACGAGAAATTTCTTGAAATAACTTTCCAATAAAACAAACATAGCAAATAAAAACTTTTGACAATATGTCTGTAATAAAAACTAATTGATGTACCACACATACCAAATAAATACAGACTACAAAGAACATTTTTTTTCATGTCATATGATATTTGATGCTGTGAATAGAACTATAGTTATTAACAAGTTCATACATAAGAGAAGACGGACGACATGATGAAGTCTATTCCATTGCACTTTCGTCAGCTCATATAGCAAAAAATAATATGAATATATATTAAACTATCTTCTTTAAATGACAAAAAAAAAGAAAAAAACAATGTTTTCTCAAAATTTAGTTTATACTCTTGGAATATTAAATCTTATTCTTGCTGGTATTGCTATTTTTTGTGTTGTACATGCTGAAGATCATCCAGAACATTTTTCACTTGTTTATATAGCTGTAAGTATATTTATGTTTTATATGGGAACAATTTTAATTATTATTATATTACAAATTATTGAAACATGTCGTGAACAACATAAAAGAAATCAATCATCATTAGAAATTCAAATGCCTACATTAACAACAGAAATCTCACCTCAGTTAAATTCTATTATTGATGAAACAATAACAAAACCAAAATTATATTTATCACATAGTCAAACATTACCATTAGTTTTATCTTCATATAATCCTCATCATACATCATCATTAATTTTTAAAAATTTTAAAAATACATCAAATGAATTCATAACAACATCAACTTATTCAACATTTTTACCGAATTATCAAGAAACATTAGCTACTCTCAATAAAAATTATCAATCATTTGCTTTTATTACAAATGATCATCGACATTCATCATAAGTTTTTCTTTTTAAAATAGACAAGCTTTTATTTGACTCTTCGCAAATTAATCGATATATTCTATGAAATATCCAGTTAGTGTGTATTTTTATGAACTATAGATCGATGATTGTCATTTGTATTATTTGTAATGATGATATTCTATGTTTATCAATAAAAAAAAATATATAAGTCATTGATTTCTACCTAACCATTCGTTGGCAATGTGATGGAGTACGAAAACAAAAACTCGTATAATAAAATGAGAAGTTCAAAACAGATTCCAAACGATACAAATCCTTCTTTAGAATTTTAAGATGATGATAAGATAAAAATTTTCATTTTCGAACTTAATAAGACATCAAGAAAATCAGTATTTAAGAGGACTTTTTTTTGGAGTCAGATCTTGCTAGAAATTTCACTATAAATGCGGTCCGTATTGTCGAATCTATTCTGAAATTTTCAGATTTTTTTTCTCATACGGAAAAAAAAAAGATATTCGCTAATTACTTTTTTTTCTATTAATAGCCATCTGAAAGAGCCAACATTCTACGTATGTCTATGCTAAAAGAACTTATTCAGAAAAAAAGTAATTCTTGTAAATAATAAAAGTCAAATGAAAGATAAGTATGTCTCATTTTGCCTGAAATGGCCTATATATTACAAATAATTTGTTTCTTCTTTTTATTGGATAACACAACACACATGAATAACTATTTATAGAAAATTAGAAAAAGAAAAATTATCTAGCACGACCTATTCTCTGTAAATTATAAATCTCCGTCTTTTCATGTTTTCAGATGATATTTCATCGAATTTTTTATATCTAATCATATACAATAAAAAAAGCAAGATTTTATTTCGATAGACAATGTGAGTTAGGTAATCAATATTTTTCATAAATAATAAACTTTTCCGTCAATCGAACAAATAGTTTTAGTAAACTAACAATAGAACTGATTATATATAGAGGAAAATATCATATTAATTTATTAGTTAAGTACAGCTTCATCAATTTTAATCGATAATCATGACTGTATAGAATATGATAGCTTAAAGTTGGTGCATAACAGACAAAAAAAAAATATACTATATAACATCAGTAATGTTTTGTTACAACCTTCTATAAGCATTGACAAACTAATATAGCAATTTTATCTCAATCGAATGAAATGTATTCATCAAGCAATGTAATCAAATTGTTCACATGTGTTTTATAAAAAAAAGAAGAGATTAACTTATGATTTGCATGTTCTTGAGATGTTCTCATTACAGTAGCTTCGAAAAAAGAATAAATTTTACAAATATAGCTGTTTAATTATGTAAATAACTGATTCGCTTATTTAATGAATTCTATACACTTTCCTTTTTTGTATATAGATATACAAAGGAAATATTACTATGACTGCTATCAACTTAGAAAAAATGATTATAATTTATTATTTCGTAAATTTTCATTTTTTTTATGTTAATTTAGTTCTCAACATTCAAAGGCTCAACACTGAGTGATTGTATACATCCGTTTAATCAAGATAAATGGAAGTACTAAATATTTCAATAGTATTAGTAATTTAATTATTTTTTCAAAGTTCATCTAATTAAGATTGTATGACCACTAAATTTGGGGACATATATTAAAAAATACATGTTAATCATGTTTCAATTACCTGTCTCATCTATTGTAGCTTTTTACATAAATATCCGAGTAAACAATTAAATAGAATGTAAAGGCTATTGAAAGCGAGATGTTGGGCAAAATTTTACTGAAAAATGAAAATTTTCGGAATAATAACTTATAAGAATTTTTCTGATAATGAGATCGTGATCAGCTCATCGAGCTTTACAAACTAGCATAATGCTGATTGAGAATAGAAATTCAAGTTTTAGGGATCTTCTCTTGTTGAAATAAATGAACAATTAAATGATTTTCTCTCTTTTTTATTCATGTACGTATTTTCAGACTTTATTTTCCATTGCTCGAAAGAAATCAGTTATGATATACCTCTAAGATATAGTCTTAGATATCTCAAGAAAAAAATGCTCAACTCAATCAGATTAAGTTTAATGTGGGTCGTAAATGAGAGTTTCTCAGGAGAAATCCGCTTCAATTTTTTTTCTCGAACACATGTCTCCTCATTTGTTGGTGTTGTATATGCGGTAAAAATTCCAGTTTAGTTGTTTGTACCGTATTCGAGAATCAGAAACAGTCAAAAAATAGAAGACGGTTATGCTTAAGCTCTTTTGGAAGGATTGGTATTAGCGTGTTGTAATCATGTAATGAAAGATATCGTGAGCATATAAACAAAAAGAAAATTTGTTTATCGTTAATATAATTTAATTGTATTTTAAAGTTTACTTGATAATAAAAATGCGCTTAGATTGTTATTATTATATATATAAATAATAATAAGTTGTCTATATTTATTTTATTCAATCTAAGATATAACGATGTTGAATGACTGATGAAAGTTTGTGAAAAAAATGTTTTTTTTTTTTTTTTAAAAAGAACGGTGAATTGCACGACATGTATGTCTCATAATTATGATATCAGACTATCATAAATAGTTGTAAGCACTAATGGAATTGAATGCTGAATTTATTGTCTTTTGGGAATGATCAATTTCAGTCTTTCTGCACTAATCAAGATGCATTATCAGGCGTTAAGACGTGCTGTAGATATAACGAATATGTGCAATAGATTTATATGCCCATTAAATCAATGGTTATACTAATAACAATATATTATGAAAAGGAAACAAAATTTCTGTTTGAAATGTATAAATATAAACGATAGTCTTCGCTGACAATCGATTATCGTTAGAAAAGAACTATAATCTTTTATGAATTTTACACTTTACTCGTTTTGTATTAGTATAATGAAGCTAAATAAGATATGTGAGCTTCATATTTCAGTATGTCTAGGATCTAAGCGAACATTTTTTTAAAAACCTAATCAATAGAAAATCTTGCATCTCCTTAGAATATAAAGAGACACTAAGAATAAAACTTGTACTTTGAATGGCTTAAATACTATCAAGAGAACGAATATGTTAGTTATGAGTCTTTTATATTCTATGGAGGCGAGTAGGATAAAAAAAAACTTGTATATTTAGATCTCAGTGCCAGTAATTGCTTTTAAAAACTATCAAATTTAAATGAATAATTCATTGTAACTTCAAAGTTAGTTACATTACGTTTTTCTTCCATCATCATTCTCGAAAAATTATCTAACAGTATGATAGAAACAGTTTACCTTTTGGAAAATCGCTGGAAAACCTTGTCGCATTCTTTTAGATCTCCAATTGTTTAAGACTGATTATAGTAGAAAAATATTTTCTCTATATTGATAGACTGCCTAATCGTCTAGTTGCATGTCAATACATACTGAATAATGAGAAAATACAACGGAAAAAAAATTAGTAAATCCAATTATCTTCTTTTCTTTGAGGCAACTGTTATTAAAAAATTTCCTATTAATAGCACATCCATCGCTTTCGTGATCTAATATCACTTGGGTACATTTTATAATTCAAAAAAATTGTCTCGAGACGTTAAAACACTTCAGAAGAAATCAAATTAGCGAAAACTGCAAATTGTTTTAGGTTTTTCTTTCAAACACTTCAACCGATTGAGCTGAAATTTTTTGTGTGGCAACTACGATCAAATCAGGGTGTATATTTTTTTTTTGTTTTCTTAAAATAGTGTTCTGCTTATTTTAGGAGATCTTACAAAATTTGCTCTAGGCAAAAACACGTTTTTTGACAGTTTCCAGTATTTTGATTCTCGTGAGCGAAGAAAACACTATTTTTCAAATAAAAAAAACATCGTACACTTAAATTTGGTCATTGTTGATACTAAAAAGCATTTAATGATAAAAAAAATTGTTAAGGTCTATCTACTCTGCAAGTTTCATTATTTTTGATCGAGTTGTTATTGAGAAACGAGGAAGGTGTCCTTGAATCTCTATTTCTGATTAAAAAAAAAACAATTCTCTTGCTCATTTAACGATGATCATTAAATATATAAATGAGAGAAAATATTTGTGAAATATTCATACATTTTGCTATATAAAATAAACTTTTCGCTTTTTCTCATTTGTGACAATCGTTCTAACAGGAGCATTCGCTTCATCAATTACAAGAGAGAAGCAACCAGTTAAAACAGCAAGTGGAAAATCTTAATGGCTTTTCCATGTCGCGAATACAGGAGCACTTTTAGCGGTAAACCGCAATAGTAGTCAAAACGGGTGGTTTTAATTCCTACCGCGGTTCACCGATAATTTTTCCGGTGAACCGGAGCAAAAGAATAGCTGTGGAAGGAAAAAAAAATCGTGTATATAAGTACATGTGTACATCCATCGTATCACTTATTCGTTTTGTTTGCTTGGTTAGCGGAAAGAATGAATATAATGCCAACGACGTCCAGTTAAGAATTATAGTTTTGTTTTTCATATTTACGTGTTTAATATCGATTTTTTTAGATTTAGTTATTAAATTTTATTTTATTAAAATTCTATATATATATTACTTTTTCAGATTAAGTTTTTTATTTACTATTTTTAGATTATTGATTCTTAGATAAAAGTTTTTTTATAGCATTTTATTTTATTTCATAAAACTGTTTTATATGTTTATCATTTTAGATCAGTTTTGTTTCTATAAATTAAAAAAAAAATTTGATGTAGTCAGTTTTTTAAAATTAATTCTTTTATGCTTATGTCTTAAGATTAACTTTTGTTTTTATTTTTGTGTGTTTTTTTACATTCGCTTGTATTTTTTTTTTATTTTTGATTGAAATGAAAATTATATTTATCGAAAAATAATTTAATTTAATGAAAAACATCGAGGAAACAGATTAAAACAGTATCAATTAGTTGCACATAAAAGCATCGGTAAACTGCGGTTTAGCGGGAAAAACCGGTGGTATATCGCGGTTACCGGATAAAACTGTCGGTTTATTGCGGTTTTGAGAATCGGTAACCGAACTTGTAAAATCGCAGTTAACCACCGGTTTTCATCACA